AAAATATTCAAAAATAATAATATAAAAGTTGCATACAGAACAAAAAATACAATAAAAAACATCTTAAAACAAAAACAACAATTAGACACAAAAAACCAATACGAACAACCCGGCATATATAGATTAAAATGCATAGATTGCCCTTTAACCTACATAGGCCAAACTGGACGTACCTTTAAACAAAGACACAAAGAACACATAACAGCCATCAAACATAATAAGGATTACTCAGCTTATGCAAAACATATATTAAACACAGGGCATACATATGGGGGAATCGAACAAACATTGGATATTATAAAAATCGTGCAAAATAGACGACATAGAGAAACTATAGAAAAATACTATATACAACGTACACACAAACAAAATATTGCGCTAAACGACAACAACCCATATTTAAATAATCCTATATTTAACACAATCCAGGTTATTGACCCAACCCCCTAACACCATTTCTACCTATATGTACGACCCACATCAGTACACCAAACCAGTCTAGAAACTGACATTCACCTGATCAGACCTGACCAGCCGAGGACACACGACACATCAAACTCCTGGTATGTTATTGTGTTACTATATTTATAGTAAACTTTTATACAATATCCAAAATCTTTTACATATAAATAATATTAATAATGTTAATTATATAATCATATTGTTGATAATTTTACAGAAATAATGAACAAATAACATAATACACCACATAATATGCAAAAGAATCAGAAGAAAAAAAAAGGAACATCCACAACTACAACCTACAATCTACAAATACTGAAAAGCGTGCATTAAAAAATATTGAATAGTTTTAAAAATAAAACCTGAAGATGATGCTGAGACATCGAAACATGTTGTAATATATAGCGCAAATTGTAACATCGTGGAAACGATGAATAGCGCGAAATATTTATATCAATTTTAATTTTTAACATCAATATTAATATAGTTTGTGTATAGACTTGAAGAATAAATATATGTATGAATTTTATATTCTAGTTTATGCATCGGTAAGGAATTCATAATTATTTAACCACGCCCGACTACCGTCGGATTGACTCCGTGGACGACCAAATTAGCGTTTTGCCCTACACTTCAGTTACTTGAATAAAAGGATAACACGATGGATTGAAATAGAAGTGAGAGTCTAATTCTGTCGAACACTAACGGGAACGATCAGTTCCCCCCCCCCCCCCACCACTTTTATCAGCTGAATCTGACAGCACAATTATCGATGCGCAGTTCATTGCATTTAAAGTGACATTCTTGTGTTTAACTTTAAAATTTCTTACATTTTAATAAAATTTTAGATTGTTGACAGTGAAAAATATTATAATATATTTTGTGGATTACGGACGGGGATTGAGAAGTTTCAGGGAATATCCTCACATATAGGCTCAACAACCCAAAAGATAGCCACTTCATATCGATTAGTAGTTTAACACCAACTGTTTATGCTCGGGCGAATCTAAAGGTACAGAAGAAGACAATGTAAATCCATCAAATCAGTTATCAACCATGTCACTTCCAGAACAAAATATAATTTAATCACTATATTGTAGAAGAAAATCATTTGAACTCAAAAGTCATTGTAATCTCGTGGCGTACCCGACTTGTAGTTACGACGCACAAGCTGAGAAACAGTGGCTTTGCGTATTATCTAAGGGGAACCGAAATGACTCAGGAGAAAGCTTCTTTACGTCTACACACTTTCACCTTCGCCATACTTTATGAAGCTAAAATCATTGCTTGCGTTTCTCCACAAGTGACAATTCACGCTGAAGGAGAAACTATTATGATTGCCTTAGGTTATTTCACGACGCTGTTTCACCTGCCAGGTTTATGTAGCATAAGAGACAGAAATAACTAATTTGAACGTAAACTCGATAGGCCACTGTTTGCACTCATTTGGATACATTGGGGAAAGCCATAACAAATAAGGATAGTAACCTGGTCGAGATTTAAACCAAGTACCTTCTGTGTGCAAGTCTACAGCTTTACCGTCGCAAAAGCAATACATATTGCCAATTGTTTTACATTTTTCCTCTCATGCACGAATTATGTCGTTTATAAACTGGCTGCTTCTGATTAAAATATTGTATTCTGCAATGATAATTAAAAGGAACTTCCCACGCCGACAAATTTATAGTTTTCCAAAATTCTAACGGACGAGAGATATAGCGAATGAGACAGACATTTTAAATTCGTATATGTGAAAGAGATGGAATTATTAAAATAATGGAAAGGGGCTCTGGTAATTAAATATAGTTAATATTCTGGAAATAGTACTTGTGAAGATTTAAGATTTTCCATCACCAAAGTGTTGTAATAAGGGCGACAGGAAGTCTGCATCAGGTTTACTCGTGGTTATACATTGTTTGTTAAATCTTCAGTTAAGTGTACAGACAAGGATGGCTAGCTGAAGTCTTGTGATGCCTGCTGTTTGAGTAGGGCAAGGGTCGAAATAGTCGGCAGTTTCCATGTATTATGTGAATGGGTCTAGCAACACAACACCTAACTCGTTATGGCTTGTTACGTCAGATCGCATAGGAAAAGCCCACAAGTGACATCACGGGCTGTGAGGCAGGAAAATGCATAAAAACTTTGTTTAGGCATTGGTAGTAGTCCTTGGACGAGTGATTAGCCTGTCGCAATTTCAGCACTTGCCTATACACGACAGCACAACACAGAAAGACGCCTTGAATGGAATTCGAACCCACGATCCCAGTGAACAACGTCCACCATAGATTCAAATCAACTGCTTCACTTTAATTAGTAATAATCACTAAATTGCATATCAAGGTCATAGAAGAACTTCACACACGCACACTTTGCCCACGGCGCAAAGTCAACAGAACAGCTTCGCTCGCCAAGCAGCTATTCGTGTTGAAACGGTGAACGGGTTTGGTGTGATTGGTGTTGCTGCCTTGGGCCAAGTCCTTTTAGAAGTATACTCCACTATCCGCTGGGGACTCTGATATCAAACTGGTCGTATCATCACCCCCTGGGATACCAGAGTATCGTATTTGACAATGACAATGAAAAGAAACTTCCCATATCCACAGTTGATTGCCCAAACAAAAAAATTGTGGTCCCACCAAATAAGTTGGTTATAAGGTTTTCATTTGTTTTATATTATTATATCTTGACTGACGTAGGACAGGACCAAATGGCGGGCTGTTTTGGATACTGACGGTAATAAAACTTAAAGAGTTCCGTAAGACGTGAAAAATTTCGTTGGCCAATTTAGTGACTATCAGCTTTCCAAGGAATGTATTCTATGGCTCAGTTCAACTAACACCAGTGACGCGTTTAGACGCCTTATACTAGTTTTAGAGCAATTCTTTTAAAACAAAAGTATTTCTAATGCCATAAGACATAACTATTCAGTCCCGGCAATTATCCATTTAGAGACGGATTCCGGAACTTGCAGTGTAATAATTCTTACAAACTGTGCCTTTATGCGTCAGTTTCCAGACTAGGCTTAACGTGTCCGGATTCTTTCATGAAGTTACTTGGAAGAATAATTAATTAACAACGACTTTATTACTGTTTACAGCGGGTCAATCTGTCAGATCCAACTGAGTAGATGTCTCTCCCTTTTTTACCTGAAGACTAAGGAAGATCAAGTTTTCGAAACTTTGTGATTTCTTTTACGACTTTCAGAAATTTTTTAACAGACGTCGGATGAAATCCAAAACAAAGACACTAGTAATATGATGTCACCACCAAAGAATTCTGATACGCAGTCCTCACACGTGTCCCTGTGCCATTTATCCAAGTAACATGATTTTCATGACTTGACGGGCGTACGAACGTCTGGGGCATAAGCAATGATTCCTATTACTTGGGCCTGGTAGTCGGTGTACTGTATGCAGTTCTGACCAACGAACCTCACTTTCTAATGACGATGCACGTTTCATGTGTTGTTGCGCAGGATCATGTGGCTGCTGCAGTGTGGTGTCGTGTTAGGCATCCTGTTTCTCCTCATCCTGGTTGCAGCGCTCCGCTTGTTCGCTTTCTTCACGAAAGGCATCTGCCGTAGCACTGCCAGCATGAAGGGCAAGACGGTCATTATTACTGGGGCCAACTCAGGTACACGTATTTGTAGCAATACTAGGCGATTCTTCGAGTTGAAAACAGAATCTATAAATGTTGAAGTTACACAGTTAAGATTGCGTAGAAGTCCATCAAAATACTGATTTCTTCTTTCCCGGCTATCTGAAGATGGCAATAGAATCTATTTCCGGAAAATTCTCTTTTAACATGTCTGTAAAACATGATGGAAAAAGTAAAAAAGTAGTTATGCATAATTTGACACCACTTTCAGAAACCTTTAAACATCACATTTCTTTAGATGCTGCTGAATATCGCTATAGATGTACATACATGAATTAATTCTTCCAACTACATAAAATACTATATTTTATGTCTAACTGGTCAGGTCTCATTGCCTTCACTCGGAGACTAGCTAAGTGCCCGGTGAAAGATGAAACCCTTACTGGGGACCGAGGGCCTTATAGCAATGTGTTGCTTGGTCAATTGGTTAGGTAGTACCATACTTCTCATAAATGTTAAATTCTTGTTATGCAAATATCATTGTACGAGAGTTTCTTCTCCATCTTCTCTGTCGCAGGTATTGGCAAAGAGACAGCCCGTGACCTTGCCAGGAGAGGAGCCAAAGTTATTATGGCCTGCAGAAACTTGGAGACTGCACACAAAGCAAGGGGTTAGTTCTGAACATAACAAGGTACTATATAATGTGAGAATGTGCAAAGGAATCAGGTGCCTGAAAAAGCAAGAGCTAAAGCATTTCCATATAATTTATGCATGTCATTCATAAAATCATGTGATCACACCTACATGCTCCAGCATAATGACGTCCTTTCACACATACTTCATTTTTTCTCCACTTCTTGCACCATCATGCAATACAATATGTACAAATGAACTGAGTCTTTTGACTCGTTTTCAGAAGTAAGAGAAGCCTTGAATGTTCATACATCCTGTATGTACATCTCCTTATTATGTTCTGAATGACTTGGTAGATTTTCATCAAACATGACATAGATATCACGTGAGTGGAAGTGATCTTGTAAAATCTTGACAATCAGTGTTGAACACTGAAAGTTCTTATATTAATTAATATGTTAAAATTCACAATTTATGAAGTCTTTCTGTAAAATGTAAATGACGTCCATTCATTGAAAAATATATTTCATATGCATTTATTTCCCATAGACTTCATTAGATATGAAGATTCTTTTATTGTTAAAGCATCAGAACTTCAGATTTACACCTCAGTCCTTGATCTTTTAACACGGCTGCTCAATATATAGAGAAGAAGATAATATGGAATGATTAAATACATTGCAAAAACTTGTGGTAAATAGGCAAGCTTGATATATACAAAATAATATATAATTATGTTCTTCAGTTAAAAGTGGTTTGTCTAATAAAACTGTAAGAACCATGGTAATATTTATGGCAGTAGTATGGAGAATTTGTGTTCATGCAGCTATATTACAAAGACCTGATATTCAGTACATTTTGGCCCTGAAATAAGTGACTTTTCAAAGACATAATAACACAGGAAGATGACCATGACTGATGAGTAAGTAAGGATTTGGAAGGGAACACTAATGACCTGTTTGAAGGTAATATCCTGGTGACCATCTGGGGAACCTGAGGAAAACCAATATCCCCCCCATTCAGGATAACCATTAACTTAGCTGATAGCTGGTATTACAAGAAAGCTGCTTGAAATAAGGGTTTAGAATGTAATGTTAATCCGTGCTCCCACCTAATGTTTGAGAGTATTCTAGAAGATGTGTCCTGTGCAATAAGAGTTTGATTTTTCCAGATGAAATCATAAAGGACACAGGGAACGAAGAAGTGATCGTGAAGAAGCTGGACTTAAGTTCTCTCAAATCGGTCCGTGACTTTGCCGACGACATCAACCGCACAGTGACAAAAGTTAACGTCTTGGTGCACAATGCAGGACTGGCATACATGTTTGACCCCAAGATCACTGAAGATGGATTAGAACTAACAATGGGAACTAACCACTTCGGCCCATTCCTCCTGACACATCTTCTAATTGGTGAGTCATTTACTTCTTTAAACTGTTTATGGAAAGGTTAAAGGTCTTAAGGACTGTATTATTAATATCTGAACATCACTACAGGCCAGACTGAAAATTTTGCACAGATCAGATTTTCCTACCCCTGTCCTAATTCATCAGCCACCTGTCACAGTGGAAAACAATGGGTGCTAGCATCTACTGGGAACTTGATGAAACTATAAGAGTTTCTGTCGAAGATGATGCTCAAACAGTGTGTCTGTGTATTCTCATAAAGGTTTTATTCATGAGTAAAGTTGTAAGGATAATTTATATACACCCTGCATTATTTATTCTGTGTATTACAGTATACCTTGCAATTTTATGTTTAGGATTGCTGAAGCAGTCAACACCAAGCCGTATTGTTATAGTGGCCTCAGAGCTGTACCGCCTTGCCAATCTGAACTTGAACAACCTCAACCCTGTAAGTGGTTTTCCTGCATATTTGTACTATGTATCCAAATATGCCAACATTGTGTTTGCACAGGAGCTGGCCAGAAGACTTGAAGGCACAGGTGAGCATTATTTCCCTACTCTCTTAGTTGCTTGAAAAACTAATAAGCCAACATAATACTTTTCATAGAGTATATATTTGAGGCACTCTGGCTATTACATATTCATGTGTTTAACAGCTTGTTAATTTTTTATGGAATACAAATTTACTTTTTTGTACATACATTTTTTATTCTCAAGGTTTCAAAGAATCACCATGGAAATGTTTACAAATTAAACAGACTTCTTGTGCTTTATGGGAAAGGCAAATAAAACCAAACATTTTATTTTCCAGTGTTATTTCTTGCTCTGATTGACAATAAAAATATATAGAACATATTTTTAAACATCTTGTGCCTGCTGTTGAAAATTCAAAAAATTATTGCTTTCCTAGAACACATTTTCAAGAACAAAAAAAAAAAACTATCATGTTTAGAAGATTCAAAACGTGGAACAGTATTAAAAAATTCCCCCCAAGTTTGAAATCATACCACAGTACCTTCAAAAATATACTGAGTTTCATTTTTAATTCCATTTGGAAATGCTTTAGAAAGGCAATTTTTAATTGTTTTAAGTACAGATCTGGTTGAACCAGTGTCTACTTTTTCCATCATTCTCCTCTATATATGCATAAATGGTTTGGATAAGTAAGGAATTCTTGTAAAGCAAAACATAAAATTCCTAATATAAGTTGTATAATGCTACTCCTCTAAGCTCTACTATTTACATTTGTTGCTTGTTTCTAACACAGGAGTAACTGTAAACAGTCTGCATCCTGGCATGATTGACTCAGGAATATGGAGAAATGTACCATTTCCATTAAGTCTGCCACTAAAAATCATAATCAAAGGTTTCTTTAAGGTGAGTTCTGTATTACTGTTATAGGAAGTACTGCATTTAAATCACAGAATAATTTCAAATTTTTGGGCCATTATCTAAATCATGCATGGTCCAGGTATGATTGTTTTTTGACAGTAACAGTATGTTTTAATCTTCTGTAATGAAATATGTTTTCTTCTCTTCAGTCTCCTGAAGAAGGTGCCCAGACAACCATATACCTGTCAGTGTCTGAAAGTGTGGAAGGCGTGTCTGGAAAATATTTTCTCGACTGCAAGGTTTGTGTTCACTGATGCACATATGTTAATTAGCCTTTGTCATATAGAAATAGAGGATTTAAATGCACATACCATGGAGCTGCTGGATGGATTTTTATTTCTGGGCATTTAACTTTAGTTATCTGGTATTTGACACCATTCAGACAGCTGGAGTATGTGTAACCTATGATGCATGACTGATAAAGACTGATATTAACACAACAAAAATGAAGGAAATTGCCTAACTGAACATGTAGGAGATTGCTTGGTTGCTTTATTACCACTGCAGTAGTTTTAAGTGCATGCATGCTGACAGTGCGTGACAGGAAATGAAAGTAGATAACACATTAACTGTTGAATTTTACGAGTATGGAGCAAAACTCAAAGACTGTTGATACAGGGGAGCATTCTTATCATAATAAGGATGACATCCAAAACAGACTGCATCTCAGATGTCCACCTAACACCACAGGTATTTTTTTTAATGAATGCCTTATTGTTCTTCTATATCTAAGTGGCTTCATAACAAAATTCTGTTTGCATGGTCAGTTACATCTATGCCCAACACAGAATAACACATTTCATTAACTGCCTTAGTAACAATGGAGAATCCTGTAAATAACAATTTACTTCATTTGTAATTTCCATCCATTCTACAGAGTCATGATGTGATTTTCAAACTTAGCTACTTATCAACTCTTACTGACAAGGCCATCAGTCTAACCTCGCATAATTTACTTGATATTCTATTGTCATGCCTTTAAAATAACTGTTTATCTCTGGTCATCTCGTAGGAATACTCTCTGTCACATCGGGCCAAGGATGCTGCAACAGCAAAGAAACTGTGGGAGCTGAGTGAAACATTTGTTGGTTTGAAGCCAAATGACCCACACATTTGAACTTCATTGTATCAGTTAGAAGACTGCAAATGGTGGGCATAAATGTTAAAGTAAATACGTGGAAATTTGAAGTTTGAAATTAAAAATGATAGTCCTGATACACATTGAATTGTTTGTGTATGAGAGAAATAGAGAGAGAGCAAAATGGATGTAGAGAGAGTACGTGAACTGATTCATACAAGAATATATTTTATAGTTTATTATTGATACTTTGAGAATAAAAATGCAATTTTGCTCTGAAGAAATACCTTAACTCTACCTTTTTCCAATTGTTATCATTCTGCACAATACATTCTACTGACAGAAATGTATGTGTCCTATGAAAATCAACCTTACCATTGTCGATGAGGAAACGTTTATCTGTGTTAACATACAACCAGCCAGATCTAAGAATTTAGATTTTAATGCCATATTTTACCCCTATGTATTAAAATATATTATTATTTGTATCTTGACAGCAATTTATTACTTTTTCTCTTTGTATAATTTCTTTATACAAAATAAAATGTTACAGAACTCTATATATTTTGCAGAACAATTTCTTTTGTATCAGTGCTGGTCTTCCTGGCTGTAACACCATGTGGACCTGTAGGTAGATATCAACGTTTCAGAGGAGCATACTTCCTCCATCATGCCAAAGTCCACACGGTGTTACAGAAGACAAATATCAATATCCTCACTGCCATTTTAACCTCAATTCATTCATGCCACAGATTGTGTCTTCTATTCATAAAGTATTTTCTATACAAACATAATTCTTCACACCTTTTAAGTTCTTGAACTGCTGTGCCAGTTAATGTTGTGTAACGCATACCAATGTCAGTAGTAAGTGCCAAGGAGTTTGTTTTTGACTAGTGTGTAAGACAGGTATCAAAAACAGATTCCATAGCAATAACAAGTTAGGAAACGTAAGAATAGTGTTAATAATTTTGCTGTATTTTATAAATTTCGCGACATCGTTCAATTCAAACCTTATATCACAGGAACACGTAGTATTAAAGCAGTCTCTTTGTGCTGAGAATACGAGACAATACAAAGGAAACTCACAGAGTGGTCAATGGTATAACTGACTGATAAAATAATTATACTCATCAACGAACAACTCGTAAGTGCGGTCAAGACAAGAGTTTTAATTTTAGAAAAGACATGGTCTTCGTTCTTAAGACAGACTGCCTCTACCAGCGAGGGTCTTATCCTCCCTTCTACCGGTTACCTGAAGACAAGAGCAGAATTAACTTCCGAAACGTCGTGGTTTCAAGTGAGCAATACATGGATAAGTTAATTAAAAATTATAGATATCGTGTCTCACCATTTTCGAACATATTTAAACGTCGCCTATGTAGTTTTTATGTTCCACACCTAACTTTTATTATTTATTTAAATTCGTCCTATTCAGTGCGTATCTCCGTTTCCCTAATTGTAGTTTTCATTTACTCTATTTATAGGCCTGTTCTAACTACAAAGAAGAGATATACAGCCGAAACATTGAAGGAACAAGTTCAAAGATGAAATAAGATAGTGTAGTTGCGTCATATTGTGACTTATTAAAATTAAATTATTTGGTTATTCCGTCAAATCACAATGTATTTAAATAAGATAATTAAAATAATTAAAATATCATTCTGTGTTCCATATCGAATAACCGATTTACAATTGGAACAGTTACAACATGTTTCGGTTTTATTAAACCATCATCAGGTGTAAAATTATATTAAATTTAAAACTCAATTACAATTTTTTACAATTTTTCGTTGTGTAGTTTTTGGAGGTCGTATCCAGATATTTTCATATAATGGATCAACTTTATTGTTTGAAGTGATGCTTTTGATGTTTACATCGGTCAGAGATGAAATAGTAGACAACACAGTTGTGTCTGGAGATGATCCAGAAGTATTACCGTATCCGAACAAGGTTTATTACTGAAGTAATAAACCTTAAATCGATTATTCGATATGGAACACAGAATGATATTTTAATTATTTTAATTATCTTACTTAAATACATTGTGATTTGACGGAATAACCAAATAATTCAATTTTAATTCAAAGATGAAGGTAAAGTTGTCTCTGTATTTAAACTCCACGCCATTAAGATGAATGGGGGATCAAACTTATTCCTGCCACTTCCAAACTCCATCCTCTTGCACTACCTCTGGAGCAGGTAGGGGATCTGTTAGGTTCCAAAGCTATTCTGCAAGTTGTGACAAAGAGAATATTTCCTGCCCTGCCCTGTCCGATATCGAAGTCCATTCGCGAATTCCGTTGTCGTTCGCATTACTGACTGAGCTGTCCGAGCACAAAAACGTTAATATGTATTTTGCGACGGAGTGGCATATTTTAGGGTTCCTTAGGCCTATGGGTTTATTATAATTAGGCTGCACACTAACAGTGCGTATAAGGCGTCATAATACAAATATCACATACTATAAATGTGGCGGTCTTCTGGGACGTTGTGCCGTGCAAGCAGTGACGACTCAGATGTGCTTACTGCCTCCATCATCGGGGCAATGATCACGATGATAGTCTGATGATAGAGTAGCATTAAGCGTATCTGAAATGTCGGCAAATTTCTACGAGACACCATCTTCAAATTCTTCACCGCGAGAATCTGAAATTTGGCCACCTAAATTCCACTATAAACATAATATTAGGTGGCTTATGTTAATTACAAAGTTCGTCGCTCTTACGCCATCTCACAGCCAGTGCGCACGTAACTAACAATAATACAAGAAAAATAAATTCCCTGTCATACACACTCACGATGCCCTACTTACTGTGAAGTTCAGCTTTTTGTTATAATTTACTTGTTCTTTGCAGTTTCCATAAATACCCGTTTCTCTGCATCACAGTTTCCTCTTATTCCCTCTCCCGTTACATGTTTGTATTAAATTAATCTGTCTATTATGAAACCTGTACTCCCGTACATCGTATTCAATTGTCTTCACTTGCATTCCCATGACTTCATACTCATTGTTAGGAATGGCAGTGTCTTCTGTTTCCCATTTCAAAAGAAATGTATTACTAACTACTCGGTTGAAGAGTCCTGACCCTAAGTCAGCTGCTGTCTCTTCCGAATCAACTCATTAAAATACTTGAACGTGTAGTATTCTCAGGTGTCTACTCCATACTTTAAGTGCGTAGGTGAATGCATGGCACTGAGTGACTAAGGATTTGGATTTAGAACGCAAATCTGACATTAGTTCTAGTCCGGTAATGATAACGGCATTCTCTGCATTGTAGCAGCTCAAATGAATCCCAGGGCCCTGAAAATTGCGTTGTATTAAAGGAGAAAGGCTATTATGCAGCTACAGAATTTCTTAAATATTGGACTTCTACCGACATGTGAAGGCCTTTTATAGACCATCATAAAGAAACATCAGGTTAATGGGGTTTTCTGTCGGTCCAATCGTCTGCATATTGCCTGCCTGAAATAGATTTTGATCTAATTTTGTATTGGGAATGGATTGGTTACACTGAACGTCTGGAAATTGGATCTGAAGATGGCTATTTTTTTGGGTTGTTAAGTTGTGTGGTCTGCTAAAGGTACTTGCCGCCTCCATCATCAGGGCGATGAATATTCATCATCCTTCTACCAGATTACACGGTGCAACAACCCAAAATACAACAACCTTCATACTCACCGCATTGACAACCTGAAATCTCAATCAGATTCTGGTCCAATACGAATGAACGTCCCTTTATATAAAGCTTAAATTTAATTATTATTTGCATCACAAATAGTTGATCGTACTCAATAATAAGATATGGAATACAGAATAAGAGCTATGGCTTGAACAATTGGCGATATGTACATTTAACGAAACACAAGAATTCGTGATTTTATTAATTGTTGTATGCAGAGCAGTTGGCCTTACAACAATTGACTGTTAGCAATAAATGGACATGAAGACAGGCATGACAACCCGCAGAGAACGTGCTTGGCAAACCTGTGTAATGCAAACTGGAGTATAGGTCCTGAGTTTCCAATTTTGATGACATGTCACTATGAGACCGATTGTTATGACGTATTTATTGTTCTGAAGTCCCTGATGTTACGTTTCGCTGCGTAATTTCAACATTAAAATCGTTATCTTAACTTGTTATTAATTAACAACACTACGCTTTCTTCCTCTCAGTTAATTTCCTAAAATTTCCTTCTCCATATTCATGTGGATCTCTGAGCTGTTAACCATCTCTACCGTTCTCTACTTTTCCAATTCTTATTGTTGTCTACTCACGGAATTCCCAG